GTATTGTGTTAGATAATAAGATTTTTGGGTTTTCCGACGACACTTTTTCACTTTTTGGTATATTAAAAAAAATCATTTATCCATTTGAACTTGAATTTTTAGTTGCAAGGAATATTCTGAGGTGTTACAAAAAAGCGAAAGGCACAGAATAAAAACAACTTTACTTTTTTGTATTATTTTTAAGTAAAAGAAAAACACATATCACAGTCGTTATGTGTTAATTAGAAAACGACTAATTAACGAATTGAAACTCAAAAGATATTTCTTCATATTTTTGCATTTTCGACTGCTATTTCTGCAGTCGCCCCTTGAGAAGTAACTTTCAACTTAGGTGCCAAGTTTAAATGCTAATTTCATGGTAAAAAAAGAAAGAAGTAATAAATGAATGAGCTAACTAACGTAAAAATCACTTTTCCACTGTGCATCACATAGTGTTTTACATGTGTTCACTTCAGGCTTCTTAACCGAACCTTCGTTATCACCATCGTCATTATCAATGCCATCATTATTGTCATTAGTAATAACGTAGCCATCATTATCAACAAAACTCCTGACAGTATTATTTCTCAATTGTTCCTCAGCACCTTTATCCTTCATCTGCTCATTATTGCAGCAATTTTCCATCGTTGCTTTCGCATTATATGTCATTATTAATGCCAGCACTACAAATTACTTCAGACGTCAAATCTAAAATTCTGTTGAAATGACTAAAATGTAGAAGATCTATTTCTACTGAAAAATTCTTCAATTTTTTTTGCTCTATTCAAAAATAATGAATAAAAATAAAAAGAAAGTAACAAAACTTACCAATGGATAGTCTTAACATCGAATGCAATCGCATCGATACCCAGTGTTTACCTTTTAAATATTAGACGTAAGTCTGATTAGTGGATACAATAAGGCTATGCGTTATTATTAAAAACCTATGCAAATTTCAAAATTTATATGCAAGACAGTTATTTTGAGTTTCGTGTAGTCAATTTAATATTGGAATTAAAAGAAAAAGTAAGATATAATGCGTGGCATTAACGTAAGGAGCAATTACGCTAAGGTCATATACCAATGTAAAAAGTAAAAGTAAGACGCATTGTGCAGAGAGGAGTGGATGGAAATGACTGCACGAATAAGTGGATAGATGAATGGGTAGATGTTTGCTGTGGGAAGAGACAGCAGTGAAGGAGCGAGAGGATTCGGAAAAAATTGGAGGAGACAAAAAGGCTCAGGCCTAATAGCGAGCCAAGAAAAACTTGGCTAATTATTCTGTCGAGAGATTTTGGGCCTCAGACAAGCATTTTTGGCCAGTCTTGTCTCATTTGCATTCGATTTTCTGCTCGAAGCACAGGTTGTTATGTCTGCGAGAGGCGGGCAGCTAGTCTTAGCCTTATTTATTTGCTTACTTACTTTACTCCTATGATCTATCAAACTTGGCCTCTTATTTATTTTTAGGCCACAAAAGTTTTTCTGGCAGTTTTGCATAAACTATCGCCAAGTATTATCATTTTTAATCAACAAATTGCTATAATTAGTGCATATTTATTTATATCAGGAAAGTAATTGTGCACGTCAAATAAGTGCGGTCATTGTTACTGAAGTATTTGAAATTAAATAAAACGTAGTGTGACATTTTTGAACAAAATATAAATTTTGCTTTTGATAAAATTTATTGTTTATAATAAAGAAATGAATAAATTAATATAATTTCTTCAAAGTTCAAGTCGCTCAGCTTTATCAGCTGTACTTCCTGAATTATTCATCACATTTTCTGCTAAATTTCGGAAGTGCTGAGAATTACGAAATTCTGAGAATAACGTGAAAAGTACATGAAGTGACTTGATGCGTGATTTTTGAACAGGTATATTAAATAGCGCTAGACATATGTCCACATATTCCTCCAATGTTGTGTCTAGTGATGCCTTAGGTAACTGTAAATGGTTAATCACTTGTACTTTCATCGAGACCATTATAAATTTATACATATTGTTCAAAATTATTAAAATGTGATGAAAGATTACTTATTTTGTAATATTGCGTACACTGAGAAATTGATCGGATGACCCTATTCTTAAAATAATTCTGAGCAAAAATGTAAGGCCCCTGTTTTGATTGTACAGAAGTTTTAGAAAAACTTCTTTTAATGTTTTCAAGATTCTTGAATATGATCGCAAAATGTAATTGTGTATAACACAAACTTGCTCTGTCTTCAATAAATTTTCCATTTCAGTTGGCCATTCTTCCATCAAGCTCTCGATACTAGGCATGGAACTTGGATAATCCACCGTACTAGACGGTTTTGTTTTGTGTAATTCCAGAAAAATTAATTAATTTACATTGTGGAACCGTGGAGTAAGTGATTATCATGAAAACACCTCATTCTCAAATGCATATTTCTATAATACAATTGTAAAATTGCTGCAAATGATTAGAAAAGTGATTGAGGAGGTATAGATAAGTGAAGTACCTTCATGCTGCTGATCCAATGCTCGATCTCTCTGGCGTTTTGATCAGCTCGATCTAACTTTTTTAAGGCAACTTCATTTACTGGAGCTGTGTTTCCTTTTACCTCGTTACGCATTTGCATATCCATAATAACTGGATCACTTTGTTCAATGGCTGGTTCATCCAGTACAGTCAAACCTAATTTATCTTCCATCTAAAAATATATCACTTTATTCCGATGATGCAGAAAATTCTTTCAATTATTATTCAGCACAAATATCGCGCATCGATTTTATTTGAAGTTCAAATCATTGTCACCATCAAGAATCAATTAAATTTCCTTTGTCTTCCAACCTAGTTCAGACTCGCTAAATACTTTATTCAACTCATCAGCGCAGCTTTAAAGTGATTACTTTGGTCATCACGATCTAATTTTGAATTAGAGCAGCTTATTATAATTATTTCGTACACACTTTTTTGTTCCGCATTTTTAATCGCTTTACAATGAAATTGTGATTACAACTGAAAAAAAATGGTACAATATTCTTTTATGAGTTTAAAAACAAATTAAAAAAATTTGAAGTGGAAATTCAATTATTCAAATTTAAGCAGCTTAAATGCAAATTTGGTCTACTTTTAAAGATGAGAGATGTGTAAGTACTTGATCAGGTCGAGGTACTTTAATGAAAGTGTCCACATCACCAACGGCTGGCACATAGTCTGGAAGGAATGGTTTCAGAAATGGTTCTATTTGAATCGTTTCAGCCGTATAAGCTTCAATATAGAAAAATAGTTCTCGCAGAACTGAACTGAGAGGTCCTGGAGAGTGTATGTCTAAAATATCCTAAATTTCAACATGAAAAACAGTCACTTACATAGAGATCATCCAGATAGATTTAAATTATTTAAAATCCGAATGAGTAGTAGCATAACTTGGAGATTCATAACTTTTAGAATCACAACTTTAGCATCAGAAACTTTGTCATTGAAGCTTCATGTCCAGAAGGTAATCAGTAATGTACCGGTTGATGATTTTTGCTCATTTAAGCCCTCATTATCAGTTTCTGATTTTTCATTTTCATTATCCTTGTGCATACTCGATTTGACTACTGTCAAATGAGTAGAGGCAGCTGAAAAAAATCTTTATTAATTTTCACTTTGAATAATCCTAATTGTGCTGAGTTATTTAAAAGAATACATATTGTATATTTCAGAATATGACAAATTTTTAAAAATGTGATCAGTTGAAACACTGATATTGAATGAAGTTGTTGCGTGTTACCAAGATTATGCACAGAGCTAAGATTAATTTGTGGTAGCTAAGTTGAATACTGTATGAATGGCGTCGAAATTAATTTGATCTAAAGATATTAGCAGCAAGTTTGATAATATCTTGCTGGAATATTTCATTAAATATCACTGACAAAAAAATTTGTTTAATAGACATTAATTATAGTACGCAACTAAGATTTGAGTAAGATGGTATAAAGTTGGATACGAGTTTATTTTGAAGGAAACAAACTAAAATGTGTTCATAATTTGTTGCAAAATGTTTATTTTAAATTATTTGAACAAACTTGATCCATTTTCAGCTTCTGATCGATCTTCTGCCATAGACTACAACAACTTATTCTTGATGAGATCAAAATTTCATAAAATTTATTAACAAAATTAAACAATCAAAAAGCATGCAAGCACGCTTTTAAAAAAATGCAAAAGTTTGGTCCTTTTATGGATTGCAAACATAAGTTTCAGATTATCAGATCAGCAAGGTTATCATTTGAGTGATTTTTGATAAAATCATTAAATCAGTGAATCGCTATGATGAAAAAGCTGGCATAAATACATATCAAAACAATACAATTATTTGTGCAGGCGATCATAGCTTTTATTATATTCACAAAATTCGCAGTTAGAATTTTAAAGTCAATAAAATAGTTAATATATGTTTAATTTTTAAATACTTTTCTATTTTCAGCGCCCAAACTCACAAAGTTATACTGATCTGAGACTCTCTTTACTTTATTAATCTCTTTGTTTTAAAAAGATTTTCCAATTCTAAATTTTATTGCTATAAAATTAAAGGGTTACTCAATACAGTAATTTGTGCTGCAAAAATCGAGTCAAAAAGTTTACTGAATTTTCAGCTAACTTTTCAAATTTCCAGAAGAAAGCTTTTTCAAACTGAATGGAAGTCAAATTGAAATGGATAGAAGCACTAATCAAAAAATTGACATTTTTGCAAGCAAAAAGTTGTGTAATAGACTGAATATTGCTGCAACTATCGTTTTTATTTGATTGCTAAGCGGCTGAATGCTTTATCCGTTGCCATTGACAACTGCTTTCTATGGAAGCTTCGTTCGCTATAAGTAAGCAGTCATTTTACTTAGTCCAAGCTTGATTTCTGATTGAAGTGTCGTAGCACTTGTTTTTTGTGACTTTGTATCATTCAGAGATAATGTGATTTATTGCTGAATAAAAAGTTTTTACAAAATTCTGCAGTCATATTTGCAAAACTGCTCTTAATTTCAGACCACTCTAGGAAGTCATTGAGGAAGTGAGTGACTTTAAGCTGCAAAGCGAAATCTTCAGGCAAACTTTGGGTTGTTTAAAGTATCTCAGAAGTAAAAAATCAGTCATATTAAATATAAAACCAAATGCGCACTAAAAATGAATATGCTAGTGTGTTTCAGTTGTTAATGTGTAATTTTGTTTCGGGATCAGAAGGAACATTTTTCCACTGATTTAATCACTTGTCAATATAATTGAGGAGTGAAGTTTTAATCAATTGGTATATCAGTTTATTCAGTATTCATCAAAGTTTCATTTATTTTGCAAAAGTGAGAAAAACAAAACTCAGAAAAAATGATTAATTTTAAGCACTGAATGAATTAACTTTTTTTTTAAATATGGAATAAAATCTCGATATTTAGAATAAATCAAGTTCTAACAAATGAAAAATAGATGTGGACAACAAAGTAAGATCCTTACAAGAAAACTTCAAATTAATTACAAACTGATATCGAATTTTTTTTCATTTTCAATAAGTCCTTTTGCATACTTCAGAAATTTCAGATTTCATTTAAAATAAAGTTCTTCATGTCTTTCATATTATCTCTAAAATGTATTAGTACTTTGCAAAATCTTGTCCTGTATGAGAATCTAAAAATTAAGACAATTTACTCTGATTATCATCCAATGTAACATGTAATGGCTACCGTGTTTTAAAATGAATAAAAATAGGCCTCATTTTGTGCTGGTAACTAGTGTGATCGCATGAAGTAGTAAAAATAAAACTTTGGAGCAGATTTCAAAGATATTATTATTCAAATAATTGAACTAAATCGTAAAACAATAGTTTTTAATTTATAACTAAAAGCTTATTCCAGTTATTTCACAGATATAACAAATATATTTTGCTATTTGGTGACTAGCAAACAGCTGACGATGAGTAGACATTCATAATTTTTATATTTAAAAATAATTTACGTTCAAAACAATGCAGTTATTTCATTAAACTTTCCCAAATACAGTTCAAAATCAGCACTTGAGAAAAAACTAAGAGTTGATGAAAAATTATTGGTTTAAAGAGAGTATAGTAGATTTCAATCACTTATTTTTTTAAAAGAAACATTTAAATTTTAACGCAGCAAAAAAAATCGTATTTGCTTAGACGACAACTTTTACTCTTCCTGATGTGAAAAATTTCTGAAAACACAATATCAATCATTTGAATCAAAAGGCTATTTTTTTAATTTAATTCCAACTGACTACAAATCTTCTCCTCCATAAAAATAAATGATTAAAAGTTGTAATAATGATTCGAAATTCTGAAAATCTTTGTAAACCACTGCATGTAATCTGAGGAATATACAGGAGCTTTTAGCTTGCCATAAATGAAAATTTTATTATGTTTGTCATCACTGATTGTTGATTTAGTTTCTGATCATTTATAAGTTCACTTTTTTTGGGAAACAGTTGCATAAATTCGATGACAAGCAATCATACCCGTTTTACTCTCCCGAATCAATCCATAGAGCTCTTTTTTGCTAAGCTGATTAATCGGATGATCAAATAATCGAGCTGTTATCACAAGTGGAATTTTCTGAAAATCTCATCCATAATTTGAAGGAATACAAGTCCAGTATTTTCCCTTTCAGTGAAACTATCTAAAGTGAAAATCATCAGAATTCAGTCTTAATACCCAACAGTATTAAAAAAGTCTGCCATCTATTCGTATCTTGCAGAGGTATAATTATTGCGGCTATAATTCTCGGACTTACATTTTTTTGTAAACAAATTTTTGAGTTAAAATTCTCTAAGAGATACAAAAAGGTGAAGTTTCCACTTTTCTTGAAAAATTTTTAACTTCAAATCAAATTTTGAATATATATTGAACAAAGTAGAGGGTGAATCGCTAAGTCTAGGCTAAAAGTGGATATAAATTTCAGTATTCTGTGGCTGTGTATTACAGATCTCTCAGATAGAGATCAGAATTCAACGAGATTAAAGTTTAGCCTTGCCATATACGTACTGATTGATTATTTTGGAAGGAAATTTAAAATTTACGAGTCAAACACATACCCCCGCACGTGCTCGACTGCTAACAAATAAATTCCACAGTTGTTCTGCTCGATTTGTGTTCTGCAAAAATCTCATGGCAATGACTAATTGATGCGAACAATTATTCGAGATTTTTGAAGTTAGAATATAATTCGTAACAAGCTAATTACATAAAACATATTGACTTGTTTTTTAATGGTAGTGAACTGATTTAACCTCAGATTAATTAAGTCATTCTCATTCATTACTACCACTAATACTGGCATTTTTCACTAATAAATAATCAACAATAATAATAACAATGCGATATTTTTATTATTTTATTATTGTGTGACATTTCCTTACATAAAGGAAAGAATATTATTGATAAAGTGGGTCAGAAAAATTGATTTGCATATTTAATCCCGACCTGATCTAAAAATGGCAGTAGCTCATTTTTGGTGGGTAAGCACACTCGCAGAGAAATGCTTTTATACTTTCCTGCAGGCAAGCCCTTCGCAGTGCACGTCATCGGTTTATCTTTTTCGAGAATTTGTACAAAATTTCTCAATGTGCCACCCATATTTTTACAAATATCACAATAAACACTGCAAGTATGGCTTCGTTAATGTGTCAAATCAATCACCAATTGAATTAACTGACTGTCAAATTAAAACTGAGATTACACTCAGAGAATCAGTCTTGCAACGGATCAAAGTAACTTTTTGATTGTTTTACTTGATGAATTTGATACTGTGCGACTGCTGCGATCTCAAATTGTTTGCTTTAAATGATCATTTTGAATAAATAAGCTAACAGAATGACAGTTATTATTTTTTGACTTTTGAATAAATATGAGTTTCCATTTATTGAAGGTTCAGAATGAATGATATCTATTTTTGATTTCGAATTCAAATCAGTTAGAATCAGATATATTTCGAAATTACAAAACTTTTGAGACAAGTAAAATGTAAAGCTATCTCAGCCTTCACTCATTCTCAGTTTAATATTTAAAACTTTTCACTGCTTCCATTTATCAGTCACTTGATTTGCTTAAAATGCCATTTGAGACATATACGAACTAATTCTCCAGTTTATTGTAATGATAATTTTGAATTGATGACTGATAAAGATGCTCAAGAGATAATTTTTAAGTAGTAATAAATTCGGTGGAAAATTTGCAACGTACCATGAACCAACACCGCCACAACCATTAGCATCTGCATTGACACATCTCTCAGGTTTACCGCTAATTCCGATTTTTGTCTCCAAATGAACGTAATATTTTGTTGTAGAGTTAAGACCAGGTGGATATACCTGTAAAGTGAATAAATTCAACGTGAATGTTGAATAATGTCAATAAAAGCTTTTTCTTTGTTTGCTAATGTTGCGTGGAAATAAAAAAATTTATTTTTGAACAGAAAATAAAATTTAGATTCTATTTAGACAAGTTATTCTATTAAAACGAATTTCAGGTTTGTTGAAAATATATTTGTTAAAGTTTGAATTATTTGTATTACAAGACACGCTGTTAAAAATACTTTTATGTTTGAATTTCGATTTTAAAGTCCTCGTAATGAAACAGCTAATATTGGTAGTTTGATGCCTCAGAAATGGCATAAATATTTTTCTCCTCGAAACTACTTTCTTTGAATGTGCTTCACACATGCATATTTGAATGAGTTACCGACGCAATCAGTACTATTTGTCTCCAAAGTACTTTTGCTGATGATAACTTGGAAATATTGTACCAGGTCAAAACTAACTTTTGCTCTGGCACTTCTAGTTTGCATTCAAAGAACAAACCTCAACTTCACCTCCACTCATTCGAAAGCATTTGTGTCCGTGTAAGTTATCGTCGGCATTAAATTTCACACCATTTGTTTTATAGCTTGGAAATTTAATTCGTAAATTTTCTTTGTCAGGGCCTAAAAGTAATAAATAATATTAACTTATCAGCAACTTTAATATCATTAAAATGTTCTCAAGCGCTTCAAACTCTTATTTCTTATTTAGCAGCATTAGCCTACACGTTACTAATTTGCATGCATTTTCTGAAATTTACATTGAGGACAACGAGTTTCTTGCTCTTGTCACCCTTGCAATCGTTGACCTTTTAAAAAATAAGATTCTATAAAGTATAAGTAAACTGCTGATAACTGTCAGTCATTCACATATTTTCTTATCATCACTATTGTAGCAGCAGTTGAAAGATTACGATCATTATATAAACTACTGATTCCTTTCATGTCTTCCATCGTATGTTGGTGTTATCTTTGAAATTATCACTTGTTATCACTGCTGCTAGTACTACACTTATTCATACTTTTTTCTTGTTGTTGTCCTTGTTAACAGTTTTGTTTAATATTATTTTCCTCACTAATATTTTGTTTCTGGCATTTCCGTTGCATATTTTCGTATTAACAACTGTATAAAAATCTGGAACACTTTGCTCACTAATATCTGCTAGAAATTTTTTCTTTAAATACATTAGAAAGCTATTATTATTATTCCCGTATTGATAACTGCCATTTTTGAAACTGTGATAATAATAACAATATAAAAAATCTACTAATGATGTATTATCAATTTTTAAATAGTACTGATAATGTGTTATGCTATCCGACATATGCAGTTATCATTGAATAAACGCTAGCATAAGGAATGGTCTTCGATTACTTCTCATTGCCAAAGCAAATTTTTTTAATACAAAAATTTTGAAAATGCAGTTATTAATTATATCTATGTGAGTGTATGTCTGCCTGTGCGTCTGTGCGTGTGAGTGAGTGTGCGTGTCTCTGTGCGTGTGTGAGTATGCATTTGAGAAGAAACGAGAATTGAAAATGATTGCATGGATGATATCAGAAATTCCAACCAATAAAGAAATGCCAAGCAATAAGAATTTGTTTTGTTTGGCAAAACAGGTTTGCGAATGGCGACTGAACAATATCATTCATAAATTTGTCATTTTCGTTTTTCTACTTCTTATTTTTGTTTTATTTTTGATGTTTTGTTGATTGACTTTGTTGTAACCTCCCGAAATGATGCATTGTGAAAGTAATCAAGCACAGCATTCTCAGCTCTCTGCCAGTAAGTAATACCATACTATTAAGTAATTCCAAGTAGTAAACTAGCAGTTGTAAACTGTTACTCACCACAAATTTTTTCACTGTAATTCATTTTAAGATTAAAATTGTCTTTTCGATGTATCTGCCGTAAATATTATAAATATTGTTGATTGAAACGAAAACTTTTCAGACAGTGGAAAATCAATTGCTTATCTCATAATCACCAATTACTGGGGTTCATTGCTCAGATTTAATCTGTGCACGTATGTCAATCAATATACAGGCGTCAAGGTGACTTATTAATTGGCAAGAAAGCTACATTAAAAATATGAGTAGTGAGTAAACTTGCCTAAATGTGTTGAACAAGGCAAGTGTCGTTCAATTTCTACTGAAACTTCACCGCGCTGAGATGAAGCAGTAGAAGTTCCAGCAGTAAAGGAAATGAATAGAGTAATAATAAACAGACGTGACTGCCAGTTTTCCTTCCAACTGCACCATGTCATCGACGTCATCTCATCTGCGACGTGCTAGTGATTCTTGCAGTTTTGGCAGAAGTAAAGGAATGTGACTGGCTGAAGTATTCTGACTTCTGAACGATTTTTTATCAGAAACTTAACAACATGAATAAAAAACTTGGTAGGAAAATGAGTAAGCATGGAAAAGACTCAACCACATCGACGCATCGTTTGGTTTGGCAAAAGCGTTTCCTTTTGAAATTACTCAGAGCATAAGAAAATAAAGTATCAACCTTTCCCCTTTTCACCCTTCGCGCAGTTGCGCAGGGTCTGTCAAGTGTCTCGATGATTGCTCAGCTATTCCTTGCCTACATCATTCATACCAGCTCTTCTCTCCCCTCCCACTGCGGAACCGCGGAGAACTTGATGAGACGGAACAATCCGGAGGAGGAGATATAATCCCGCCACTCCCACGCAAGTCAGTTTCTTATACTTCATCGCGGCATCATGTCAAGACTGCTTCAATTATCACTACCAACTCTGTGCAGTCACGTATGGATATCTGGTTAAATATAGTAGTTGCATGCGCACTTATAGATTTCACAGTTTCCATGAAATGATGAAAAACTTTGCATGTTATACGAGAGAATCACGTGAAGTGCAATATGATAAGAATCTTATGAAAGTTGCACAAGCACGCTTTCTGATACTTTTTTATATTTGACATTGGGAATGAAAAAAAGCATACGAATTATTAAGACGTATGTAATGGTTAAGTCACGTTGTTACTTGCAGAAAAAATCATTCAGAGTTGATGTTTTCTCTTACTGCAAGTTTGCAACAAATTTAATTCCGTGATATTAAATAATTAACTCTTCTATACACTGTTGTGAGCAATATCTTAATAATTTAATGAATCTCATAATGGAATTGTAACGGAACACAGCGACTGATATGTGTCTGCAGAACGGTACAGATAGCGACCTCATGACTTTGCGTATAACAGTAATGGGAACGAATGATCGAACATTAGAAGATAATAAGTGCATATCAAATTATTTGTATTTAACTATGAGATTTCTCTTTTATCTAACAAAATATGAAGAAGATATTAGCGAATATAAGAAGAGATAAGCGAATATGAGAATCGAATCACGTTATTTTTGGGTGGGAGGATATCGACATTTTACTGACAATTACAACTCTTCTTTCATCGTTTACTTCGAAGTGTACAAGATAGATAGCTTGACGAACATTCGAGCAGTGAGGGGAGCAAAAACCTGTCGCTACCATAACAGCAGAATGAAAATTGAATTTTAATGTAAAAATAGTTGAAATTTCTTCTCACGGTCGAATGACAAAGTGAAAATTTGTAGTTGCTATTTATTAGCCGTCTGAATGACTTCGAAATACTGCAAGTAACAACTTCATTTTACTTTGAAGTAAACTTTTTGAAATTTAATAAGCGCACTCATAATTTAACAAAAAAATTGAGAAGCAAACATGCCCTAACCTCGTCGTTCTGCTTTTCTACTTGTATCCAATTTAACGGTTCTTTGCTACATTTCGTGTGCTACCACAATGCGTGTAAATCATTCATGAAGTTTAGATTAAATAATGCAGTTTTTTAGATGTCATTTTATGCAAATTAAATTTCAATCTCAAATTCTACAATGCTAACTAGTAGTTAAGTGCAGGCTGAAATTAGTGCCCTAGAAGAAGAATAACAGCAATAATTTATTTTCGACTTGGTAAAAGATATAACCGACAGTGACAATGTTCTCATTTATATTGTTTGATGGCAATTTTTGTTTTTCCTGCAAGATGGCTGAAATTGACAAAACTAGAAATTTATGCAATTATATAAAGATTCGATATATCGGTGATAAGTCAATGTTGATATATATTAATGAGTTTGGCAAAGTTATCCTATCCATTGTTTGAGAATACTTTGATCGAAAATTTCGATCGGAGGACATGGATCAGCTTATTTGTTCATACCTAACTGAGCTATCTACAAAAATTTTGAATTTTTGTTCTTCAAATTTTGGCGCAGGTGTCAACATTAACTATAAATCTAAAATAAAAACTATAACTGCTTGCATGATCAAATATTACTATTTAGGATTTAAAAATTTTGTTCAAAGCTATACTTTATTTTAATATCCGACATTATACGAATAATTTTAAACTGATACTGTAAAGCTCAAATTATGTCAAAGTATTGACCTCAGCATTTTTAATTATTTATTGAACAATGAATTCAGCATTTGAATTAAAAATATGCAGTTTTGTCGACTTGAAAAATTTGTTCTAATTAAAAAAAATCGCAGCCAGTAATAACTGGCTCTTGACATCATAATTCTAACATCATAAAAACGTTTCCGAGACATTATTTATTCACTTGCTTAGACTTTCATGGAAATCCATCCCATGCATAATAATTTCATTAATCAAAACTAATAAGTCATTAGATTTTAATTAGGAGATTATTGAGCGAATTCGAATTAAAAATTAAGTTGCAATTTTTCAGTCGATCACAATTAGTATTCAAAAATCACTATATTTCAGTGAGTTTAAAAATAATAAATACAAATGTAATAAACACATTTGAAGGCACATGGCTTTTTATAATGCTTTGCACAGATCTTTTGAAAATTAAAATGAGTTTTGTAGCAGAAAAACTGACAAAGTTCAGTCATTTAATAAGGAAACGCTGTAATATTGCTTGCAGGCTTAACAAATGAGTACTTCAAATTTTATTAATTTAATTGTTCATTTAACTAAATTTTCTGAAAATAATAATTAATCAAAATCGTTATTTTGTGCCTCTACAACCGACTTATTAATTGTAGCTCTATTTGACTACACGCGAACTACCATTTTCATTCCTTTATTTTTTCAACAGATGCAAATTAATCACCTTTATTCCTGTCTTGTGCGCTTTGTACTAAAAAATTATCAGAAATGTAAATCAAATCTCATTCAGTCAGTCACAACTTTAGACTCTATAATTTTCAATATTAGATAATAACAAACAAAACGTTGTTTGATGGTGAATTGGTGTTGTGTCTAGCAATAAGTCACTACAACCCACCTTAAATGTAACCATCATATGAATGGACAAAATATAGCACCACTAATATTATCGTGAAATAATAGCATATACTAGCAATAATAATTAATTTTGAATATTTGCAAATAAAATTAAAACTATAACAAATTTAAATCAAGATGGACAGTTCATAATTACACTAATATTCTTTCGTGCAAAAATATTAAAGTAAACATAATTTACTTCAAAGCTCATATTGTATTACTGACAATTGTACTACAAATATTAAAGTAAAATTCTAATTTGTTTAATACAAAAATAAGCAAGCAGAAATGTTATTAGCTGCCAATTTCCACTCCTACTACGATAGTTATGCATTCCAGCCATCAGTTCTCAGCAGTCCAGTCCTTCAAGAGATAATAAAAATATGAATAAGTTTTTCATTCTACTCAATTCGCACTCGTCCATGAATAATATGGCATGCAGTGAATAATCTTTCATTTTTAATCATCGCATTAAAAGGTAAACTCCAATAAACATTGGTAGGCAGTGGCTCGTTCTATAAAATTTACTTTTAATTCAAAAAATAATTTAAATACAAAAATTTGGTGAATATTAAAAAATAAATGCTATTTTCAAATTCTTCAAACAATGATTTTGCAAATAATCAGCAAATCCAGAAAACGAAAGAAGTACGATATGTAAATCAATGCACTGATATCCATAAAAGTAACCTTGTTGGATGATTTCTTATTTCTCCTATAAAGAGCAATAACTTTGGTTTGTGTTTGCATTAGTTTTGACACATCCTTTTTGAAAATATATATTGTTATAAATATATTTATCGTTTGATCGGTATTTCCGGTCTGAAAAATAATAAATAACATTTCTAAAATACCGCAAATTATAAAGCATATATTTGTCGCGTTTATTTCTACGGATTTTTTTTTACTTAAAATATTATTTTGAAGTTTTTGGATGACTAGAGCCGTTGAGAGAAATTGGTAGAATTATTTGCACATGGCAAAATATATGTTTTCTGGTTAAGGATATTTAATTGAATGTTCATATTTATATGACTATTTAATGAAATATCCTTCGAGGAATCGAAGTTTTCCAGAGCAGCTGGGCAGGTGAAGTGCTGAAGACAACTGTCTTGACTGTTTCGGGAGGATGCGGAAAAGGATGGTCCTTCTGTTATTCTCTGTATCACGAGAAGTTCGTGTGCGCGATTCAAGAACAGAAGGTACAAACGAATGCTGCAATCGCCAGTATTGCAGGACGTCCGTGTTCGCAGAAACGGTTTTTAGAGGAAACAACAAAACATGCAAAAATACTTGACACCTACTTCGAGAAAAATACGCCACATGACGTAAAGCAGAAATACGTTGTACTATTGCAAGAAGCACAAGGACGTGAGAAGACCAGACAAAGTGGACGAGGAAATTAATCTCGAAGAACGTTGACCAGCTTATACTTGGAGCAGTAAACGAAGGTCGGTGAATATCTGGTACCGAGTTTCTTCAAGTCAATAACTGAGGTAGTACAACAATTCTATAAAGATAAGACAAGCGGGAAAAGAAGCCATCGAGGTGTAAGTCAGGCACTGAAAAGAAGTGTGAAAACCTTCCACAAAACCCTCATAGAGCGGTATTTGGCCAGTGAAACACTTGAAGGTAAAATCCAGAGGGAGGCCGAGAAGTGTATGAGGGGCATGGATCTCATATTTGCTTTCAGACGTGATTGTCATAAGGCCCTGAGCATGATGACAGAACGTGTGAAAGTTTGTGAAAATAACATAAAAAGTTATGAGTCTTGATGTGCATTCCAAATCCAAAACGCCGGATTTGATTCGTTCAGATGGCGATTTTATAGAAAACTAACTGAGGAACAGCCTATTAGCCACAGTTTAAGAACAGAAGAAATTACAGATTTTTTTGCCACGATGTGGAATTTGAAAATTGGAGATAATGACAATCGATACGATGAATATCTGGAAGAATTCGTTCCAGATTATACTTTCGCGTATGAAGCCGAATTTTACTGTCGAAAACGTATTAGCTGCGCAGAAGGCGCTGTTGTATAGCAAAATGGAAAAAAAACCCACCATGCAAAGCTAGACAAGATGCGGACGATTAAAATCTATCCATCGTTGATTCATCAAAATGCCTACGATACGGAAACATTACCCCGCAGGATGAGGCATGGTATGATACTGTTATTTACAAGATAGAAATATGTTTGGAGGTGAGAAAGGTATGTGCCAACATTGT